GAATTACAAGAAGAGCAGAGAAGCATACAATGTATGTATTACTCATTCACTGGTTTAGATTTAAGGACACACATTTACATTTTAAAGACAACATGCAAGCATAATAACATTTCCCTACTTTATATTTTATTGAGGCATATTAAAAGTTATTTTTTCATTTGCAAGAAGATTTGGTAATGTAAAGGGGGTGTAGCATGACAAGACTATGTGTCTTTCCCGTGGCCTGACTCGGAGCCAATCGGGTATAATACGACTACTGACGACGCGACAGCAGTATTCACATGTATACGCGAAACTGAAGCGTGAAAAGAACTTCCTTCTGTTTCGCCAACACTAGCGCGCGCTGACCGTTAATCAAGTCCATTCGTTTACGTGCAGTTGTCCAAAAGAAGTGGTGTTAACCAGTATTTGCCATGCTACACCCCCTTTAAGGTAACCTTTATTTGAAAGAGAAAGTTGCCCTATACTCAAGTCTCTAAGCATAGTGTCCTGGAGCTCCAATTTATTTATTTTATTTTTTATTTTTTAAAAAAACCTTTGGGTCAAGATTATCATTTGTGATAAAGACAGGATACATGTATATGATGACATCATATGCCAATGTAACATGAGGATGACAAGATTAATCAGTCATCCTTCCATACTCGGGATGCCCCAAATGGGATTATAAACGAGGAACAATGAGGGGCCACTTAGTTACATCATTTGGTGCAGGGTCCATATTTCATCTATTCGACTTCTACATGTAGACAATTTCACAAGTTTATAAAAATTGAAATGATTATCAAGACTTTAGATAGGTAAAGATTTATTGAGGACAGAATGGAATTGAGACATTAGAAGATATCAAAAACCACTTTAACTTTAAAACTGGTGCAATCGTCATCGCGAAGAACTTGAATTGTCACATTGAAGCTATTCGTAAGTTTTTACAAAGAACTAGCAAGAGCAGTGAGGGGGAAAATGTGAGTTATCTGATGGATTATTTGGATAATTCATAAGTGTTTTTGAAATTTTTGTTTAAACTAAGAATAAAAAAAGAAATGGAATATGACAACCCCCCCCCCCCCCCAGAAAGAAAGAAAAAAAGTTAAAAAATAAACAAACAACAAAACACTTTTCAAGACTTAGTCTGAATCACATGCACATGGATTTGGAAAGGTATACTGGTAGATTTTCCTTAAAAATATTTTAATAAACAAACAAAAAACACAAAAGACCAATTAAAGAACATTATAAGACCGTCATTCACCATTCAGTATCAGGTTGAAAATGCTTCTTGATTCAGGAATGCAAGACGTCCAAGTTCAAGGAGCGAGGCCTACTAGAGCCAATTACTTCCACATCTTAACCCTAAAAGGGTGGCTTAATGACATCACAAACCCCGCGTCTGATCCCCCCTCCCCCTCACTATCCCCCTGAAGCACCAGGCCTATGTCAATGGGTCTGTTCACATTATGGCCCAGTCCACCCGACAAATTCAATACCAGACTATCAAAAGACCAAACAAAAGTTACTTTACACCAAATAGTCTGGAATACTGGAATTGATCAGTTAAGAACTTAAGAGTCGGTTTAAGTTGGTTTAGTGGTGTCACTATTAAAGTATGTACATACGGAAAATTGGCCTAAAACAAGGCTGAGCTTGGGTCGAGTCGCGATTCTTAAACACGTGTCCAGCTATCTTGGTCACTCAAGAAATTTGCCCAACTACCAGGTACTGTAATCTGACCAGAAACTTTTGCAAATTGCAACAATGTAATAGTATCACTAGTGTGTTGATCAATAATTAGAAGGTATGAAACCCTTGCGAGTCTGAACCATTCACTACCGTTTCATGCATGAAACAGTATCTGGTTTTTGCACTTTCACTGCGAATGAGCTTGCAATCAGGCTAATTTCTCAAGATCAGATTTAGTTAGCAGGCTACTTTGAAAACTTGGCCATGTGAAGACGGGTCTTAGAGATCCCTTGGGTAGTGGAGAGGGGGAAGCAGACAAACAGCTGTTCACTAGATCAAGTCTTCTACGTCATCCTGGACAGATGCATCGTGGAGCTTGTTCAAACTAGTGGCAATTCATACAAAACTCTTACAAAGAAACATTGTATGGCAAAGGGGGCGTTCACACTCGATAATAAAATGTAAAAAAGATATTAAGTTGTTTAAAGAAACTAGTTTTGAAGAGGTTAGTTAAAGGTAATACAAAGTTTTTGTATGGGGTCATGAATTTGGTTCAAATTAACAATTTCGGAAGATATGCGTTCCTAAAATATTCATTGATCGTTGTCGCGGTTGAAACCGAGTCTACAGTTATGGAATTATAAATAATAAACTCTTTATGTTATATAGCTCCCTCTCAAGGTCAAGATATTAATTTAGCTATGAAACAATGTTTCTTGATTAAAATCGAACGATTAGCTATTCCCGTTTGGAAACTATATATCACAACTACATATTCTGATATTTTCATGGTCGCAGCTACCATTGTACGGCCAGAGGCACTATTTGAAATTTATCAAAATTTACCGGGAGCACCGGTAATTCAACTTTTCTCGAAAACAGAAGTGTTTTAGGGGCTAATTTGTTTAGTGCTTATAAAACATCCACAGGGGCACCAAATATAACAAAGTTGTAAAGATTCTCTATCCACCCAATTTTCAAAATTTCCCAAAACTTTGTATTACCTTTAACATGACAGGTGGCTAATCATCAGTGCGTGCTTAGGACAAGCCCCGCCTCGTAGTTTCCATATGATAACTTCATTCAGACTAAAACGGACACCGAGTCCCTGAAGTTTCATATACAACATCTCATTATACAACGTTCAGAGAAACGTTGCTTATTTATGAATGACCATATCATGATAAAATGTGGTAGTCTGAACAGTGTTTAGAGAGATTCCTTGCCCCTTCCCATCTCTCTGACTGATAACAGTCTTTCTCCCTCCCAAAAGGGACGAGGATATCCTAATAAGATAACATCTGAATTGATGCGTGGGTCAGGGAAAGAATCAATTTTGGCTCGTCTCTTCCAAGTGCAATCTCACTTCGTCAATGGCAGTCTCCTAGAATATCCAAAGTGCTCTAGAATGCTGTCGTCATGCCAATGGAAATGGCTAGAATCGACTATATACTCAAGAAGTCATTTCAGAAAGTTGTCGAATATCTCTAATGTTGTAAACATGCCAATGGAAATTGCAATAGACTTTTACTCAATAATTCATTTCAGAAAGTTTTCAAATATCTTTAGTCTCTAAAGCAAAGATGATTTATCTTAATAATGTGGCAAACTATGGCATAGTTTCAACAACAAACTTTTATTAAGGTGGATTCAACCGGAGAATCAAATAAGATGGGGAACCTGGGCCTTGTTTCATAAAACTTGTCATCAGTGACAAATGACAGTTTTTGTTATAAGCTAGTGAAATACTTGCTTCTGATTGGTTATTAGCAGATTAGTCACTGATTTTTGTCATGTTTCATTAAAAAAGGATTTGCGAAATGGGTCCCTTTCTTTCATCTTAAAAATAAAAGACCTCACACAGCTCCTGTAAAAACATAAACCGAGCCGCCCCATACCTATTAGTGAATGAATATCACCTCATCGTCATACATCATCCCGATCCCTTCATGACGATGAAGCTCAAATTGGCCACGGCAGATGGGTGTTATGAATTGGCACATTACTCCGTCCACTGATTGGAACTGAATGAAACCCTGATGAACGCGCTCAGCTGACTCGCCAGTTGCCCCTCCTGCGTTCTGATACACATTGTGGGTTGACCTTGTAGACTGGTCATGAGATTCAACATGTTGTGCGGTTTTGTCCTAATTCACTCGTACATGTACAATGCAATAGAACCCTCCCCCATTTTCCCAAGCTACCGCTAGTTTTCAACATTATTTCCTCTGATGATGGTTAGAGCCCTCCCCCATTTTTCAAAGCAACTGCTAACTTCCAAGATCCACTTTTAAACAAAGTATACAGAACTTTGTGCATGGATTTGGTAAAATTCTCTAAATACTAAAGGGAGTGGGGCGTCAGTTTCCATGTGCCGAAGGCCATAATACGGTGATACCAGACTTGGTGGAAATACCATTAATGTGTGTACAATTCTCCGCACAGCGAGCCCCTAGGCCTATCAAGAAAAAAAGCCTAGTCTCTCAGAAGGCCTGTCTTCATCAGACTGAAGTTGCAAAATCCCCCGCTATTTTCAGACTTGGAATATGTTCCCGAAGCTCGAAATTGCATCTTCCACAGACTGATAAACTAGCTTGGATGGGCGCAAATTAGCACGCCATTTCCCAAATAGCGGGCTATTTTGGAAACAAGACCAAGATTTCTAAATTAGATTACAGACTCTTATACCAGCAGTCTAAAAAAAAATCATTTGTATCTGCCGTACAATACAATATACAAACTTCAAGGTAATACTGAAGTCCTTTTTACCGGTTCATTGCTATCATATCTGACATCAAAATGTAAAAAAGCCGGAATTCCGGCAACTGCTAGAAAACTGGCATCCCTGATTAGTGAACAGGTCTATTGTGTAAAATCATGAAAACTGATTATGATCACATTATCAGTCGGGACCCTGTGTTTATACAATTTCCATGAAAAAGGATACTTCCTTATAAAAGAGGAAGTTTGCATTGTAGCTTTAGGAAATAACCTTTCAATTAAATACACATAATTAAATGTGTTTGGGAAAGTCCAAAGTTTGCCCCACACATTAACAAACTTGTATTACTTATATGAATTATGGAATTGTGAACATAAAGTGGCATATAAATGTTTTATTTGATGTTTTGTCTGATTCAAGCTGGAGTAGGGATCAGACTGGCGGGTATTAAAGTATGGGGAGACACAATGTACGCTTTCCTGTTAAGTTTGCTATTCCTGTTTGGGGGGGGGGGGGCGGTTTACTACACTGTATGTAATGTGTGGACAGAACTTTAATTCCAAAATAAAAACAAAAAAACAAGAATGAATTAGCTTACCTCCTTGTGGGTTGTCAAATACTTTCTTGTAGAGACTTCTGAAGGATGCACTGAGGTCTTCTATATTGGGGTTCGACTCAAATAACCTTTGGTCTCCTGAATTTGATAGATGGCTATGAGGCGGTGATGCAAACTGAAGGAGGGGGAACAAGATGGATTATGTAAATTATTTGAAAATAATGTCATTTCTTTTGATTTATCAATAAAAAAAATTCTTCAGATAAAACTGTCAAACTGAAAACGGCTAGTGCCATGGACGGTTGGATACCGGACAGCTAAACGTTTGACCACAGCACTAGAAGAGTTCGTCAACCATCAAATAGGGTTTGACATCAGTCTTAGTGCACTTAGTGACAGAGCAAAAGCATTATAGAGATTGTACAGGTGTAAATATAGAAATAAAGTACATTTCTTCACTTGTTTAATAACAAATTGAGTGTTTGATTATAGTAACATTCCTCCACAGTACATTCTCGCTTGTCACTTTTGTCAGTAACATCACGATATAGGCACATGTCTGAATCAGAAAGTAGGTGTCTGGCATATCTTAAACATCTTATAATTATTATCAGACAGAATATCTCTTCTCCTTTTTTCCTTAACTTTTTTATTGTACTACTGGCTTGGAAAAAGCAATCTGAACTACATACAATCTTGAAACATACCAAAAGAAGTAATATTTCATCCAAGTCTCAAAGATTCCAAGACCTAAATACCAATATTTCTACAAAATTTGTGTTGATTCCCATAAAAATGATTATAATAAGTGTATTAAAAAAAAAGAAGAATAAATACAATACAGGCACATACAGTACATGTACTGTACATATATACAAAAAGATTGTATGCCATAAAAGTTGATTGCTTATAGATACACGTACTAAACTGTGCTTAATTAATATTCTCTTCCAGGAACTGACCTTTAGAAGCTTTCTCATGATCAAATCCCCTGATTGTGTATCAAGATCAGTGGAACCATGTTCACACAAGACAATCCTAATCATGTTCACACGACACAATCCTATTTTAAACTTAAGTTTGCGAAATCTTGGTAGTTATAAACGACAATCCACCAATGATGGCAAGAGTTTGCAAAGGACCGGAGCAACAAGCATTCAAAATACAGTCAAACCTGTCTATAGCGACCATCCACGGGAAACGCAAAAAGTAATCTTTGTAGACAGGTGGTCTTTGTAGACAGGTTCCTTTAGTACATGATTCAATGAGAAACCATTTTTAAGGGAAACAACAAATGTGGCCTTTGTAGACAGGTGGTCGTTGTAGACAGGTGGTCACTAAAGCAGGTTTGACTGTACTAATCTACAAGCCGTGCAAACAGTCTGCAAGCTGGCGTAACCTCAAAGTCACATGTAGTGTCTGCACAGCACATGAGCTATGTTTACACAGAACATCATATTTTAAAACTTTTAAGTTTGTGAAACCTTGGTAGTTATACACCCCCTCCCCTCAGTTTATCATGCTAACCTTAAAATCACAAGTTTGAGTAAAAACTGGTGTGTCTGCATGGCCTCTAAGGACAAGTTAGATTCAAAGTTTAAAACCATGACTTAAACTTCAAGTCAACAGACTGTCATGTGAACCTAATTAGAGAAGAAAAAAAAAATCTCACCCTACATCAGAAGTACATCTAAAATAGGAAGTGTAATTAAACAAGTTAATCTATATTTAACATAGATCGCTACTGTTCTGGTCGAGCAGGGCTAGAGATTGCCTGTCAAAAGGAAACGACCTTTTTGTTTCACCAAATTCACAGATACTGTGGATTAAATCTAACCCACTGGAATAATCATTCGGACACCCCTCTCCCTTTAACTTATACATACTACAGTATAATCTAAACCCCTATAGAATAATCATTCGGACACCCCTCTCCCATTAAAGGGATCCGGTAACTTTGTCTCAGATTCTGAAACAAAATTCTGGATTTAGCTCATGATGCAATGATAATTATAAACCTTTAGGTCAGTCAGGAACCCCAAGACTTTTACAAGCCGATCGCCTGTCTGATTGTCAAGATATTTATGATTGGAATTACAAATTTTGAAAACCGTTCGCCTGACGGTTTTCATAACACTACAGTCTATTGGGGAAAACGAGTATGGTAAAACCGGTCACTCAAAGATTTTTACTTTTTGAGGCACTTCTTGATCATTTTGAAGCGCAATTTTTTTAGGGCTTCAATATTACACCATATCACAAACACTGATAACACGTAGGGCCGTGTATCTCAGATTTAACATTGTTAAACGATCCCTTTAACTCATACATGCTTTGTGTTAAATTTAAACCCCTATAGAATAATGATTCAAACACCCTCTCCCTTGTACTCACATGTGTTAGATCAGAAACCCTGTAGACAAATTATTTTGGCACCCCTTCACCTTTACTTAATACAGATACTGTGCATTAGATCTAAACACCCCTAGAAAAATAATTTTGTTATCCTTCTCCCCCCTTTTACTACTCACACACAATCTGAAAGCTCTTAAAAACTTTTGCAGTGACCCAAATTCCATTTGATTTCTTTACCTTTAACTGTATTGATCAGTGACCTTCTGGATTTCTTTCTTTTTTACACTTGTAATATCTTATATATATATTTGTTTTTTTATTGAATGGAATAAATTAAATGTGAAATCTGAAAAAACTGATTTGGGTGTCCCTCTACATTTCACACACAGATACAGCACATTAAATTTAAACCCCACAGAACATTGTTTGGGCACCCCTCTCCCTAAAATGTCTGCAGCTTTTATTACTACATTTTCATTTCTTTACACACTCATCAGGCCCCTCAACTCTCCGCCTAAGTTATGCCCAAATTTGTTGAAGACAACTCAATATGTGTTTCACTTCAGTGTTGTTTGCTGCAAGATCCATTTTGTCAAACATACGGGGGAAGGCCTTGTATAGCTACTGGGATAAAGGATAGGTTTTAAATTGGGGGGGGGGGGGGCGACAGCCCTCGCCCCTCTAGCAGTGCTCCTAAATGTCCATGTACATTGATTAACATGAGCATGTGTATACCTGCAATAAAATGTCCCTATTAACATGTGCACATGTTATTTTTCTTTGAGGTTTAATATAAACCTTTCTTCTGTCTTAGGGATTGTCAGTACACGACTACTCATGAATGTGGAATCGAATTGTCTCTGAGCAAACCAAGCACTCAATCACGTTAAGTAAACCATCAGTGTGGATTACATGAAGCTCAGGAGGATTAGCATACAAAAACGTGGAAATCAGCCTGCCTTTATTTAAATACTGAGATTATTTCGACAATTAAAAGATCTGGACTTTGAACCCTTAGGCCTATGCCTAGCAGTAGCAATCATGCAGTTTAAATAAGACAAGAGATTTTTTATAGAAACTTTCATTTCATGCTCATTTTTAAGATGATCAACATTTCAGAAAAACCAAGCACTTATACACGTAGATCTCTCTTTAAACTTCTTTATGCAATATCGAAACCAAAATGTCAACAGTATTCAATGTATGAAATGAAGTTCTATTCTATAATTGTACTGGGGAGTTAAAAATAGGCCAAATGTCAATCTGATATAGCAAGAGCTTATTCCAGATCCTTTTTTTTTTATAAATCTGGAGTGCTTTTTATCAAGCTGCCAAATACTGGTTTATGTTTAAAAGCATTAAGAATTGGCAAAATACAAGGAGTAGTCACACATCATAACATTGATAATCATGTTCTAAATGAAATTGGGAAATGTTATCTTCATCAACTAACTTCCAACTGTTCGCCAAACTAATATAACATGAAAGTTTGTAAATAACTTGAGATATATTCTTCAGTCCTCTTTTAAGCATGAGAAATTATTAATTTTGGAAATAGTCCATGAATGAGATATAAATCATTGCAATGGGTAAATTGATCCCTAATTTGTCACCTTTAGGAAGGAACTTGTCAGTATAGAATACCTCGGCAATGAAAATAGCTGATATGCTGCCAATTATAATGCAAATATATGTTTTTTCTTCTCCTTCCATTTCATCTACTTGCAATTTTTCATGAAAATTAGGGTTTCGTCACAATTGATATTGTCTACAGTCTAACATATATTCCTCTCTATAAAGGAAACCTGTCTATAATGGTCACCAAGAGTAAACTCTCTGTAAGAAGACACATGTTGTAGAACCTTTCTTGAAATGATACCTGTTTATAATGGTCACCTAAATTGTATATTGTCCCTCTCTTTAGAAAGAAATATTTGTTGTAGGACCTCCCTATAAAGGACACCTGACTATAGTGGTCAGCAGTATCATTTCTCTCTCTACCAAGATATGGGTTGTACATAGTAGAACCAGTCTAGAAAGGCTACCTGTTTATAGTGGTCATCTATATTGTCTCTCTTTAGAAAGAAATATTTTTTTGTAGGACCTCTCTATAAAGGACACCTGACTATAGTGGTCAGCAGTATTATCTCTCTCTACCAAGATATGGGTTGTACATAGTAGAACCAGTCTAGAAAGGCTACCTGTTTATAGTGGTCATCTATATTGTCTCTCTTTAGAAAGAAATATTTTTTTGTAGGACCTCTCTATAAAGGACACCTGACTATAGTGGTCAGCAGTATTATCTCTCTCTACCAAGATATGGGTTGTACATAGTAGAACCTGTCTAGAAAGGCTACCTGTTTATAGTGGTCACCTACCTGTATATTGACTCTCTCTAGAAAGAAATATTTGTTATACAATAGGCTTGCGGGTGCACCATGTGAGAGAGAGGGAGGATTGAGAAGTCCTGAAAAGGACTCTCTGTAATCTTTCTTGAGGGTTTGGAGTCCTGAAAAGGACTGTTGGTGTAGTCTTGAAAAAGACTGTTGGTTATCTTTCTTAGCTTAAAGTAATTCTAAGGAGAACTATAGCGCTTGGAGAGGATGGGTGATGCGTGGCGGGAGTGGCTCGACGTTTCGAACAGGTTGACTATCCGTCGTCAGGAGTGGAGAATAGTTTGTTGTAGAAACTCTCTATAAAGGACACCGGACTATAGTGGTCAACAGCTCCCTCTAACAAGATATGGGTTGTCTCGGATGCTACCTGTTTATAGTGGTCATCTATTGTCTCCCTCTAGAAAGGTGTTTTAAAACCTGTCTAGAAAGGTCAATTGTCTACAGTGGCCACTTTCTTGTTTCCCCCTTTGGTGGCCTTAGTAGACAGGTTTTAGAGTATAGCAATAAAGAAAAGACTTTCCTTGTTCATGGGAGATCTTTAGTTTTCTGCCGAAATTTTGAAGTATTTATCTGTTTTTTGCACTAGAGCTCCCCCCCCCCCCCCCCCCCCAGTTATCACGCACTACTTCTGAGGTTTCAAGAGCGACACCTCTCACTGTTTCGGTCTTTCAGATTACTTTTTTGCTGCTGTATAGTCATCAAGTCTTTCTATACAGTATCTATCTAAACAATCGTCATAAATACTCACATGATTATTTGGAAATGCTGGGGTAACTATGACACTGCCGATACTTCCGCCAGAACTCTCTAAACTTTCTTCGGGACTGTACGGTGACATACCAGGATGCTGCAACAGAGAGTGAGAGAACAGATGGACAAGACATTCCCGTCAGAAACATAATAGAAAGGTTACAAATTTGGGTCACGGTTTATGTCTGTGTGCTTCCGAATAGCTCCATGATCGACCAATGCTACATGCTATCTTTTCATGCTGGATGCTATGTATCCCAGCACATATACATGTACAGACAGCTGCAGTGCAAATATGACTGTCAAATGTCAATAATAAACATCTAAAATCGTTTTTAATGTTTTTATTGTACAGTAAGGTAAGAGATATAAAAACAAAAACAATGAAGTATAAAACAAAAATAATTTGGCATGGTTGGTTATAAATACTAAAGCAGATTTAAATCAGAGAATTAATTTTACTTACTCATTAATGAATTTGATTTGAAATGTGAACAAACAAAATCAAACAAATAAAAAAACAACTAGCAAGCCAAAATCTATGTTCAAATATCATGCAGGCCTAAATTATTACCATCAAACTCAAGGATGGCAAATTGATAATGCAGCAGACTACTGTGTTTCATTGCAACTTACAAATGCTCAATGTAACTAACAATCTTTTAAACCCATCAACAGAAAGTTTTCCAAGAATCAGCAGATATTTAAAACTGATGTCACAATTGTCCTTCACCTCGTTTATATCTAATCCCATTACATTACCAAAATGGATTGCTCTTTTGTTATCAGTAATTTCCCAAGTACACTGTTTACTTGCCAGTATTTTTTCAAATTTCATAATTTCTTCAACTTTTTAATATTTTTTTTTGGTTATATCATTTGAACTGATGTACACGTGTATACCCATTCATTAGATCGGAATCACTGAAAAGTTAGATACACTGTACGTGTATGATTAATAGCACCTTCATAATTTCTAAATGTTAAAGTTTCAACCTAGAAACTTTGGTTTTTGTGAAAACTTTAAAAACTATTCTTTTATTCTGACAATAAAAAGCTTTTATAGCTGATTTCTCCAAATCTATTTATTACGTAATTAATTATTTTTTGGACCACTCATGAAATTATGTAAAAGTTTCTTACATGGAAAAAATGCTGGTTTTACAATAATAATTCAGCCTGCATGTACAGTATATTATACATCACTCTTTGACAACTGGCGAAGATATTACTTGCTAAAACGACAGATTTTTTTTTTTTTTTTTTTTTAGGGGGGGGGGGGGAATTAAATACAAGTGCTGATACTTACCCTCCTCTTCTTCCTTAGACTGTCGTCTTGTGGATTGTTATCGATGGCCCAATATGATCCCTGGAGAAAAAAAAGAAAGAGAAAATACAAAGGGAATTAATTTCAAAATGAAAGATGAAAGGACATTATTTTTATATGCTTTTCACACTGGCAATATTTTCCTTAACCCCGTACTATAGGTGGGGTTAAGGGGGTCTTAACCCCACCTATAGTACGGGGTTAAGCCTATTCCACTTTCTGTTCACACTGGCTTTTACCAAAGTGGGCTAAAGTTGGCTAACCCCACCTATAGTACGGGGTTAACTAACCCTGCAAAATAGCAGGGCTAACTCCGCAATTGTGGTGCTAACTCCTGCTAACCCCGCAATTGCGGTGCTAAGCAAACGAATGAGAACAGAAACGAAAAATAGTCCGGTACTACGCAATGGAGCGTATCGCAGCTGGCCAGATGCGAAGTATGTCCTATCATAACATACACGATATCCGGGGTTAACGAAATGCAGTGAGAACAGCGGGAATTTTCTTATTCCGGAATAGGCGCTAGTACGGGACTAAAAACAGCGAGTGTGAAAAGCCAAAAAAATAGTCTGGGGTTAAGGATAGTACGGGGCTAAGCAAAGTACGGGGTTAAGCAAAACCAGTGTGAAAAGAGTATTAGAAAGGAAAGTACAAGGGGTTGTGAAAATACTGAAGCAGACAATGTACTAAAAACATTGACAATTTCTCTCAATTAGCAAAGCAATAATAATAATAATACATTCATAAAATATAAGAAAACTTAACCCCCCCCCCCAAAAAAAAAAAAAAAAAAAAAATTCCAGACAATTATTTCCAATCATATAATTTCATATTTTGATACTATTATAGTCAAATTAAATTAATAGTATGCATACATGTATGTACATAGGAGGAAATGAATGAAAATAAGACCAATACAAAAATTAAAGTACATTACAAGTATGCTAGACTACGTATGCTAACAAATAACACCTTCAATATGAATGTTTAATAAATGTGTGCATATAAAACAAAACCACATCCTGCAAAATGCTTTCCCAAAATTGTATTTTTCATACATTGAAACAATGTTGAGTGTACAGACAGAAGCGGATAAAAAGTACAAGCACAATTATTGGTGTGTCAACCATACATATTTGTTAGGGTGTTGATTCAATCAATGAAATCTTTGGGTGTTCCTGTCCATTTTCACTCCTGTTTCAAATCATATCTCAGCATGCATACTGTACATGTAGATATAACTTGTTACTTTACGTATGCAGAAGTACAGACATCACGTATGTACATGTACATGTATGCAGGCATTCCATTTGTGGTTAAAAACGGAATCAAAAGCAAATAGAGGGAAGTCCCTCTTTATATTTGAACTTCCACCCCCACGGTCTACTAAGCCACTTTTGTACCACTTTTGGAGAAAAGAACATGAATATTTCTGTTCATGCAATATGCAGAGTACAGCTGTAGTGGTTGTTGAATATAAATGGGATTCACACTATGTAGTATGTACATGTACATGTTCAGTGTACATGTACTGTAAGCCTAGGCATACTGGTATAGTTATACCGTAGTAGCCCATGAATCTATTATACATCAATATTATGTTGCACATATAAAGCAGGTTTCTGTTCTTCTATCATCCTGGTAGAGTTACATGTAGGAATATTTGCAATAAATGGCACAAAAATATGAAATGGACTACTGTATGTACATCTTTCTTATTACTTAAATCAGAGTCGTTGCTTTCACATTTAATTTATACATGATATCTTTAATATACACTACATGTACGTTTAAAGAAAATTTTACCTGACTTTAATAACAAAGCCTCCAAATTTCTCTTCTGAAATGTTTATAAAAGTACCTTAGAATACTGCATGTTCTGATTAAAATGAAATAAAACATCACAATCTTTTCATCTCTGACCAAAGCACCGAGACTGGAAAATCCCACAGATGTTTAGAAAATCAACAGAATATACATAAAGGTCACTTGTAAGTCCTACTTCTGGACAGGGAAACTCTTACTTCTAAAGTGCAATCTAGTGACCTACTTTTAAAAGTTCTGTAAGCTTGATGTTTACTGAAAGTCAAGTATCTTTTACATGTAGCTATTTTAGACTAGAGGAAAGAATCTATTGATATACTGTACATGTACACCTGTATATATTGACGGGAAAAAACAAGTACTGGTATACAATAACTGTATTGCACATTGTACATAATACACATAAATACACCATAGTACATGTATTACATTAAATACATCAAATGTACTTGTTTGGGGAGAATTACATGTATTTTTTGTACAAATATGGCATTCACATTTCTCTAAATTCGCTATATACATGTATGACCTTTCATAATGCATTTTTCTCTGAACTATTCCTTAAAGCGTATCTGCCATAGTTTACAGGAGGGATTAGACTGCCCTGCAAGGTCACTGGACAGGTGGTTATCTCATCAACTCAGCTCTCAGTTAACACAAGAAAAAGAGGATCATGGGGGACCAATGGTCACTGATTAGGCATGTTTTGTTATATAGAGGGCGCAAGTAGCTACAAGTAGTGCAGTGGGGCTTTAACACAAGACAAAGTAAACAGGTACATGTACATGTGTACATACATGTACATACATGTAAATAGTGCTTTTTAAAATCCAACATAAATGTAAGTATCACACATATGAATGGGGGTGGGTCTTCACATTCTCTTCATCTGCCCCCCCCCACCCCCTCCACCCTCCCACTCCTCATTTCATCCTTCCAAACATACTTGTCAATTGCTATTGTCATTCAATTTGTATGTTCTCTATATTGCTTTAAACTGCACATACCTGTTCCGGTACAAAGTGCAAGGTTTAATAATATAATAGGGACTCATTAAAACAGTTTGTTAAAAAAGTGGTCAGAATTCTAAGAATTTGATAACAAATTGGTGACACACACATTTTTTAACCCTGACTGGAAACCTTAGAAAGGGTTGGGTGGGTACATGTACATTAAGATGCAAGACTCCTCCTTTCATCAATATTTGACTACGAAAAAAATGAAAACTGTAAATTTTGTAACCATCTACACATTATTTTATATATGGAAGATAGAGATTCTACAGTAGTGCAAAGATTGAAAATTGCTCAAGTTTACACGCCTACACAACAAACCACAACCTAACAATCATTGATAAATCACTCCTACAGTACACACTATGATGGCAATGAAAATATGAGTAGGAAGTTTTTAAAAATAGAGTTGCCAACATGGCCAAATGTAATTTGTATAAAAAGCTAATCATATCAAAACGAAACTTTCGAGCTAGTGGAATTTTCCAATCAATCTGCCCCCACAACTTCCACGTGTATCATAGAAAGTTAACATTTCAATCCACTCTCCACACACACACAAAAAATGCTTTATGTTCGTTTCATTGTAGGGAATATTTTCATTTTTCTATGACTTTTAGAAAGCCATTTTCATCAATTAGAAATCCTCAAATCCTTATTAAAAGTATTACAAAGTTTTGGAAAATTTTGAAAATTGGCTGGATAGTAATTCTTTACAATTTGATATATTTCACAAATTGAATATAAAAATTTACCGGTGCTCCTGGTAAATTTTGATGACTTTCAAATAGCGCCTACGGCCATACAATGGTAGCTGCGACCAGGAAAATCTCAGAATATGTAGATGTGATATATAATTTTTAAACGGGAATAGCCAATCGGTTGATTTTAGTCAAGAAATATTGTTTTATAGCTGAATTAATATATTGACCTTGAGAGGGAGTTATACAACATAAACAGTTTATTATCACAATTTCATCACTTTCAGTCTCGGTCACAAATGCCATTACAAACTGCTACGAACGCCGTACAAACGATTTTCAAACAATGGAAATTCGGGAAGACAATGGAAAAACAGGGAGATTCGTACAAACCTTTGTGACAGTAGCAATAGACTCGATTTCAACCGCGACAACGATCACTGAATATTGTACGCTCGCATACATATGCTTCCAATATTGTTCATTTGAACCAAATTCATGACCCAATACTAAAACTTTGGTATTACCTTAAAGAAATAAATTCAAAAATCAGGTCACACATTTGGGATTTTTTTGGGGGGATCACACATTTGGTGCAAAATTTAAAACAAAATTTAAATAAAAATCGTTAAAATACTATACTATTTTGAAGTTTTAAAATGATGCAAAACTGATGAACAGTTAGGGGGCTACAAATCCACTAGCCATATGTACATGTTCATGTACATGAACACTGGTTTTAGTAAATAAAAAAGACAGTTAGGGGCTACAAATCCACTCACCATATACAGTACATGAAAACTGGTTTCAGTAAATTAGAAAGAAAACTGGCCAGATGAAGTTTGCTTAATTTGTAAAGTAAAGCCCTTTAAAAAAATACCTGCTAAAAAAGTAATAGATACTTGAGTCACATATTTTGTGGTACATTTATTTTTGAAAATGTTCTAAAAACTGGCAAATGGATATAAAATTCAAGTCTGAAGTAGGCCTACTCTTGATTTGTAATGGGCCTAAGTATTAGCCCACCATATCATTATGCCAGCTTGGTGTCTCTCTGACTTGTGGTTTCTCTATTAACAAGCTGTTTTCACATGCATTGAATCACAGCTTCACAAGGTCAAGGGAACAAAACAAAACAAGAGACAAGTATCTGCTTTGAAAAGCAAATATTGGGCAGCAATCCAGAAACCAACCGCATGTGTTCAATTTTGCACTTTTCTCCAGTTGACTCTGACTGATTTTCTTTACTCTAATTATGATGCTACATTGTAGCTGTTTTTCTATAGACATCCACAGCACAGCAGCATTTATTTTGCACTTAACAAATGCCCATGTACAGTGTACATGAAGTCCAAGTTAAGGATTAAAGTTTTAATTAAATCTTGAACAACACTGAACTTTTTTTTTTCCCCGTTAGTAGCAACTGCTTTTGATAATGAATCCCAAGGCAACTTCAATAGCCTTCACAACAATGGCAATGAGGTAGCACATTATTTGAAGTTCA